TCGAGAGACCTTCCGGGGCGAATTCTACTGAATGTATAGACTTGGCCAGCAATACAATCTCAGACACAAAGAATGAATGGGCTTGAGTCATGCGACGAAGTGGCTCGCACTATGAAGCGTTGACACTCGACAAATTGTCGAGGCATTTCACCCCGCGACTTGAGAAGCTCGGATTTATGGGTCGTGGGGTATAAAAGCAGGTAATAGAAGTAATCTATACGTAACGTAAGGTTGTTCTGAGGTATAAAGGGGTGGTAGATGGAAAGGAGCCCCTCCAGCCTCCCCGACTCTTCTCACTCGTTAAATTCTTAGCCGTGCAGATAAGACTGGATTTCAGTCGGATGATTAATTTTTCTCTATAGAAGCCACGCTTAACAGCCACTCAGAACTGTGTCGAGAAATCAGTCATCAGTGGTATGATTTATACAAAAAAAAAAGTGGCAGCTTTTTTCACGAAAAATTATAATATATATGTATTGCGAATCCCCTATAACCTCTCGCGTTCTTACCTGACTTCACGTGGATTTACCCCTGTCACGGTTCGTTTACGTGAAAATAAAGTTAATGGTTTTTCATTTGATTTTCCGCCTTCGTTAAATCCCGTTACGTCGTTTGATGTTTTATCAAGTTTCAAAAGCTTTATTTTTAGGGCAAACCATTTTACTCGATTTCAGAGAATTTTCTAAGGTCACCTATTTACCTGATTCGACATATTTTTCGTGCGCTTGTAGGTATGCGCACAAGATGGGAAAGCAGAAAAGCAGAAATCAAATAGATTCAGATGCAATAATCATTTACGTAATATCTCAGGATAATGTAACCCATAATATATGAGTCTGAAAAACAAACTGATATTGGAACGATGACATTCGCTAGATTTATCCGATGGTTTTATTAAAAATTATTTTTTAAAATATTTACATTTTCACCGTGATAATTTAACGCGTCGGACGAGCGTTCATAATTTACAGATAAATTGATTTAAAGAAACATAAAAAATTGTATGTGGAAAAAATATTTTCTAAAACAGTCCATCGCCAGTTTGCTGTTATCTATATATAGGTATATGATATCATGTGTTGTCGATCTGTATATCGATATCTTCATATGGACCACCAACCGAACAGAAGGAATCCACTGCGATACGGCTGATTTCGAAACAACCCAAATGCATCGAGTACGAATAGGATGGGTTTGTGCTCCCAATAGAATAGGGGATGACACATGGGCGAGATGCCCACCACCGCAAGTAATTGATATTGGTACAGCGCCTAGTGTCCCAAGCTGATTCTGTGCGTGCTGCAGACTAGATCCATATAGTATATGGTAGTGCTAGCCGAAAGGGAGCATGGGACCAATATTCCATTTTGCCGTTCCTCTATGGACCACACACACGTCACAGTGCATTTGGTCGTACATGTGAAAACTCTCGGGTGGCCAACGTCAAATTCAAAATCTATGGAAGTTAATATTGGCCGGTATGAAGATATCGCCATCTTGAATTGTCTACTTGGCGAACACGTGCTACCGTCATAAAGTACGGCTTAGAAAAAGTTGGAAGGAATAATTTTTCTGTTTTTACTTAATCCCTCGAAAAAAATTTTCAACGTTCCGACAGCAACAGCGAAATCTCGAATGAAAGTTTCCCACTGCGTCCACCGTGACTCGAATTTTCGTATTGAATAATTGATCGAAGTCTAATGGCGAAACGTTGTTTGTATCCAGGGATAAGAATTTCTCTTGAAATTTTCAACGGGTACTTCAAGCCATTACGATACTATGGAAAAGAGCATATGAATCTTTAACTGTCAATTTTCATATCTTCTTTCGATACTGCTATTATTTAATAATATTTAACGTCTCCCAAGCAAAACCTTATTCTACGATGAATTACGCAATAAAGATATATATATACGTAACATAAAACATGGCATAAAGTATCGATCTCATCTTCAATATCGAAGTTACAAATTTGACACTTGTTGCCGACTCATTAACTTTTCCATGCCGATTTCACCCGAGTAATAGATATATAATTAAACTTCCATTAACTCGTAAGCATTAAAGTTGGATTAGCAGTGGTATCACATGTGCCATACGTGCTTTTACCAAAATGTTACCAATACGTGAAAGTCCGATCGAAGCCGAAACCCTCTCTCCCCTCCATCCTACCAACAGACTCACACATTACTGACACATTTAAATTCATCCAGGGTGCGTCAGACTAACTATATATAGCCATTGTCCGCTATTCCAGGGGTCCTGCCACCAAAAGAACATTAATAATCAGCAAATGAACAATACTAGGCGAAAGTAACAGGACTCGTATTCGAATCAATTACTGTTTAATTAACAGAAAGAGATTGCTTTTGTGGCAGGAGGATTCCTGAACGAATGTGACGAGCGGAGTCGAGCGGGCGCTAAAAGGGGTGGCGAAAATACGATCGGCGCAAGGGTAGTCAGTGGGTCGTGCGTGTGGTCGGGCAGAATCCGTACTAGGGGTTTGACATGCAAATCAGCTATTGTCATTGTTATTACCGAGAAAATCCTCATCTTCTCGCACCACGCCGTTATACACCGAGGGAGGCTTAAGATGGCCAAGACGAAACCGACGAACTGTCTGAATACACGTCATTTAAATGATAATGACAAATAACGATACTGTAAGCCGCTGAGAATTTCAACTTCGCTAAGATACCCTAATACCCGGCATTTGGCATGTAGAGAGAGAGAGAGAGAGAGAAAATTAAGGGAGAGTGTCTTGAGAATATTTATATGAAAATCTTACTTCTTGCGCTTGTCAACGTCATTTATTTATGATAATATTCCTATATAATATATATACACACGCAATCATCTAGCTACTGCTCACTAATGAACCTCCGAGTACCTAACGTTGAACTTATGAGACTTGTGGAACATTCGAGAGAGCTTCTCTTTGAATCAATAGGATTAACTTAGAAATTGACTTAAAGACCCGACTCAAGTGCATTCGGGTATACGTGATACTTGAATTAAGGTGTTAATGAGCTATGTTAAATCAAAGCTGTACATGTCCCGTGATTGCATGGAATAATCAAAATGATAATGGGCACCAAATGACATATGGAATTGCGACACGAACTCTGTTTGGATCGCACCACGTTTTCTCACAAATATTTGCCGATCACGTGTGACAATTATACGCTCCGTATCTTCGTGTGATATATTTAGCGGGAATCTCAGTGTAGGATCATGACGATGTTACAATAATGCTTTTCCGATTTGATTATTAAATAATTATTCATTAAAAATCGCGAGACAGCAAACAACATACTCCGAAAGAAAAATATATTTCATATTGCAATTTCCCATGGTAAATCATCAACGAACATTCTCAGACTGTCACGTACCCTGACTATAGCCAAACATACTACGACGTTAAACAATTCGCATATAACATTCGCGAGTTATGAATAAATGCACATATATTTGCATAAAAAAATATATATGCACGACCCCTGCGTAAAATTACCAGAATGGAATTCGAGACACGTACTGGACTTTTCCAGCCAGTCTAAGTTGGTCGGACTTGACACTTAATTCTTTTCCAGTCATAATAATTTCGTAACAAATAAAACCTAGTGCAGTCACTTATCAATTATTACAATGATCGATCTCCCGTTTCACCGAAGGTAACACACTGATTTCAGAACAGTATCAATGACCAGATCAGAATCTCTAAGGCATTAGCAGCGTCGTGGTCGAGAGTCAATTACCAGGACTGTACCATTGAAGCGCGATCATCTGCTCGACCAGTTTCTACCTGACCATACATACATAGCGTCCATCCGTTAATCTAACAGCAGATAGAGACTGCACAATTGCAGTAAGCTGGTACCAAAGGGTTTCCGTTATAGGACAGGGCACTGGATTATTTTCCACGAGACTAGTTTCGCTCTTCGTATGAACACGTGGGTATCCATATTATGAAGGTACAGAATATGTATACATGTATAGGTATAGATACAGGTAATGATCGGCATAGTCAACTCTGCTTTCAGACATTCAAGTTGTAATCTCGTAGTTTCGTAGTTGGTGATTTAATTGAAGTGGAATCCGAGCGTATAAAACGCTTCGAGTCGTTCATTTAATTATGTCCTACTCTGCCTAACCTCGGCGACTCGGAAGACTCGAGCAACTCCAACTGCAATTCCTTCTGCTTTCTTCCCTTTGGAAATTCCAAGCTTCCGCGCTCGAGCGGTTCGTTAGGAACGCAACTCGGCTAATGGATAAAGGCGAGGGATTCGAATCTAAACGAGTTAATTTTTGCTTACATTTGAGAGTCTTTTATGGCAACTACAACGTTCGCTGTGCACGCTTTGGGTACTTTGTGTGATGTATTCAATGGAAACCAAAAATTGGTAAATTTTGTTGAAACTTTCGTCATAGCGGCTAAACGTCATTCCATTATAACGCTTGTGGTGAAATTCGTTGAATGCTGATCAAAAGCGCAGTTTGAAAATTATTTGAGCGATATTAAGATTTCTTTGGAAGAATGACGCTGTGCTGAATTCATTGAATTTCAGAGTTTGTCTTGCAGTTTGTTCAGCAAAAGAATGAGAATGCAACGGGAGCAGTGTGGAGTCTTGTAGAGGAGAGACGGAAGGTGAAGTTTTGAACGTCTGACTTTTCTGGTTTATTCCTTGTACTTTTATACTCTGTGGTCTTTCTGTGTTGATGATATAATTCTTGTATGCGAAGAGACAGAGAGAAAGATGAAAAGAAAAAAAAATCCTTTCACCTGAAATTTCAAAGCAAAGGGTTTAAAATGGGACCTAAATGATTCTTTGTAACAGATTCTGATAACAGATAAAAACAATTAAACTATCCTAATATATATCTTTTTAGTGGGAATTAGTATACTGATAATATTTTCTCCTGGTTTGAAGTTTCCTTCATTATTTCTTGTTTTCTTCAAAAATAATAATCTCATCGTCAACAGTTAATAATCATGTAATTAATTGCAGGTGAAATATCAATCATATAGGAAGGTACCACAGAGCCCGCTAAAATTCTCAGATTAATTTAACCGTTTGGCATGACAATGTCAGCGGATACATCATTAATAATAAAAGTCCGTTTGATTAATTATCTGCAAAAAATTGTTGGCCCGAAAGAAAATTATTTCCTAAATGCACAATATCGCTAGCGGATACAATAAACCTGCCAGATTTAACGAAAAGTAAAGTTAATGAAAATTTACGCCCTTATTAATATAATTAAACTCCTCGTTACCATACCAAGAGAAAAACAAATCTTGATTATTTAATTATGTAGATACATCATAAAATAAATACACTGACACTTCGTCATTGTGACAAAAGTTTAATGACCGATTGAGCATTCGATATTGATTGATCTTACTATACAATAATCCCATCTCTCATACCACAGCCAATCACTCACTGGCACTCATGCGATGGCTCCTCCCACGTCGATCGGATCTGAACTATCGAACTCTTATAATGATAGAGTGCAGACTTCATGCATCTCTGTTCGAACGGAATCAAGTACTTAGAATAATGGTTGGCAGTTCTCACTTTGCAGATGGACTCAATAAATTCGCATCGATCACTAATATTTACTTGTTTAATTCCAACGCTCCAATTGCACCAGCTTATATCTCTGAACTGACCTGAACTACAGGCGGGTTGCGTAGTATTGAAAGTCTATGAAATCCTGTGCTGAAAAAATATTCCATAATGACTATAGTTTTAATGGTGAGATCAAATTAATGTTTTTTTTTTCTCCTTACCTCAATACCAGCACGTAGAATATTAGCCGTAGATCGTTGACTAGTTACACTAGCAACGGTCGATGCTTCGTTACTGAAGCAATTTTCCTTTCGGTGGCGATGGCGCGAGATTTCAACTTGCTGCGTCACGAGTAATTGATGGATTACTTCTGAGGAAACTGGAGGGAACGTGTACGTCCTCTCTTGTTCCCCACTATATTAAATTACAGTTCCACCTCATCGTTCTCCCGAAGTTAATTATTATTAACGGGATACTTTTTCACTTCCATGTATATCTATACAGATATATCGCAGTTACTTTCCTGAAGCAGACTGAACTCTGCAAAAGTTTTATCCCGTCGAAATAGATATTTTCCTTGGCAATATTTCACAAGCACCTGTCACCTGTCAAATTCACATGTAATTGAATTCAATTTGAGACTACCTACCCTAAGGACAATGTTTGACGTCAACTCACACGCAATGCCACGTTTTGCATATATAACTCATCCAAACCAAACCTGAGCTCATCCACTGTCTCCCTGAATTCCCTCTCGAGTCATTCAGAAAGATTCCCGCCATCGGATCATCTGGTGCCGCCTCCGTAATTACTAAACGCTTTGTGCCTTCTCCCTTGGGAATTAAATTGCGCAGATATTAAGGACGAATAATGGCGCCACGGTGCGAACGTGTTTTCACCATTGAAATGACATTTTGATAACCTTCACGTCCTTTTCAAGACGTTCCTTTATAGGTCACTTATAATACTTACCCTCATACGTATTTTCAAGCGACCCTATAGAAATCTATATCCTCCAGTTCACACAGAAATTGAACAATAATTTTTAAGCGTTCTCACAGGGCGAATCACTTCGTAATATTTAATAGGATTACCTGGTCTTGTGCGAAGTCCTTTACTCTCAAAGGAAGCGTCGTACGAATGTTTCACTTCAAAGTTCCTCTTGCCGCTGTGAATCCAACTGAACAGCTTCAACTTCACGGGCTTTAACCGTTAAATGTATACCGAGTGTAAGGTTGGTATCCATCTTCAGTATGTTCGAAACTCCCATTTGGTATTCCTGGCACGGTCTATCTTATTTCAACGGCCACGAACAGATCCAAGCTTTTTCTTCCGACTTTTCAGAGAGCTACGTAAGATCCGCTTCGTTGAATCGAAAAGAACTATGTCCGGGCTTATTCTTAACGAAGCACAAAGGAGAAAAGATTCAAGATGTATCGACTCTCTATTCAATCGTGGACGGCCGAGTAATCCGGATCGAGTCTATAATCCACGAACCGCTCAGCAACGGACCCGTGCGCCGATGTGTAATTGGGATCAATGCTTATCGCTTGGCACACACAGGGTCTCATGTATGGAGAAAGATTCACTTGATTTCCTACGCACAAAAGCGCGACACGCCTGTTCCGATATTACACAGAAAGGAATTTTGGTAAAATTACCTCATGCGGTAATAAATTTTGGAAATTTACATTGTTCTCGACATTTGTAAATTGGTGTATAAAACATTTACGAATTAATCGGATTTGTACACCTCTTGCGGCCATGTTAGTTTTCACGGGTACAAACATTTTATGACACTTTGCAGAGTGAAGAATGACGTTCGTAATATAAACTAGTAACTATTCATGAAACTATATAAATGTAAAACGCGTTGGCTACTTATCCGTTTAGTTAAAATTATTATGTGCAGCAAACTTACGATAAAGTACGTTGGTAATTCACATTGATCTCGTCGATCTTCCTAGGCTGTCAGGTTAGGCGACACTATTCAATGGCAGTTTATATACATATAAAGTAATCACTAAAACCAACGTACGCACATATTTCACAGAAGTAATGATCAATTGAGAATTATATTCACGAACAATACAGCAAAATGAACGGATACAAACAGTACATAAAATTGCCCGTGTATTCCATCCCAAACTCACAGTTTTACGTTAGAAGGATCTTCCAGTATTTGACGCCAGATGGCAATACTGTCGGTCATATGGCCAAAGGTATAGCCAACAATTTTTTACTACTAAAGCCAGTGCAGTCGAGAGAACCAATATGGAAATAAAATATTCAAAAAATTATTACTTATGACCTGTAAAAACAGTAACAAAAAAGTCCACATTATTTCCCATTAAACACCCTCACTTATATATTATTAGAGGTACGTTTTTATTTCTCTTTAAAATTTATTTCTGTCCATGAGGCAATTATTTCCCACTATTATATCGGAAACGATTCTTCGACTGTCCGTAAAGTTTTCTTTCTCATCCTAAAAATGTTTACTAAACTTGTATAACTTGTTGTTGCTTTCAGAGGGACCGGTATTTAATATGTCAATATCAAACGTGACAGTTTCCGTGGGAAGAGAAGCAGTGCTGGCTTGTGTCGTCGAGAATCTTTCTGTTTATAAGGTAAATAACTATTTTCTAATAATTTTCAGAAAATATCCTCCTGATAATGTTATAGTCCTTAATGCTACTTTAATCGCATGGAACGTATGTATGTACATTAGTGCGTTTATTCTACAATGGCACGACTTAATAGCAATTATATTAATATGTCACCGACAGAATTTTCAACAAACTACAATTTAGTATCTCGTTTCATAGAAACGCCTGTTGAGATCGCATTGTTCGCACTTAAACCGAATGAGAACGTATTTCGTGACTCGAATTATGGTTCCTTTGTGTACCAGATATCCGTAGGTTCCCTAGCAATGAAATTAGTCACAGTAGTCAACTTGAGTGTACGCATTTGAGAGAAATTACTCTGGGACAATGAAAAGAGATTTAAGTATAACCATACATTATTATCCTTATTACTACATTCATAAAAAATTTAAATACGTGCCCGTATTATCCAGTGCTACGTACAAAAGAATCACAAACATCACTAAAAAAAAAAACTAAAAAAACAGAAAACTAAGAGAAATGTAAAAATAAAGCTAAGACCCGTTCTTCTGATATCGAGGAATATCAAGATATTTACTTTAACGATTCCCTATAAAATTTGACGGTGCAAGTAATTTCCTGTTCTTATCCTCGGAGCAAGTGAATCCCCAGAAGGGTCACCGTTGCCACGCAGCTCTTTTTTCTCTTACGAATAGATGTCAGGATGGTCTGTAGAGGGCGTAGCGAGAGGGAGGATCAGAGAATGAAGTACGAGCATATCTGTTTTACGAAAGTGCGACGAAGTCGAGCGTGAAGCAGACGTTAAATCCCGAGGCGTTTTGTCTTTTGAGTTCCGCATGGAAGGTCGACATAGCGAAAGCACAGAAGGAAGGATAGAAGTGAGGAAGCATGTGAGCTACAGAGAAAGGGTGAAAGGTTAAGGGGTGGAGAAATGGTTGGTGGATAGAATGGGTGGGCAGGGGGTGGAATATGAGGTAGAAATAAGGGTGGCACGTCGCGGGATGAGCTTGACAGCAACCGTAGCTTAGGTTAAGTGCGTCGGTTTAAGCTTGGGTATTCCGATGTCAAGGCTCACGGGACGCGGGTCATTGTGTCATGCTTGCACGTTTTCCTTGTTTCATCTTAACCTACAAAAGTGTCACTTCGAGCATCTTTCTCCGGTAAGTGATGAACCTTTGACAGTTTTCGTGAAACTTATTCTTGGATCTATGTACCCTGATTGTGCATTTTACCACTTGAGGCTTTAAGATTTATGAATTTTCCAGCCGCTTGGCTGCTCATCGAGCATTTCTTGTTTATCTTGTCGCGCGAAGTGGTATCTTTCGCTCATCTTTATTTCTTGAAATTTCCTTCGGTACGAAGAATCCCTGGAATGTTGAGTGAGCATATGCAGCGTGACTCGTCGATGCCCTAATAGATTTCTAGCTAACGATGTCGTGCGCTTGTCAAATGCTTCGAAGGATTTTGACAATCGTGACGTCGGCGCAGAATTTATAAATTTAGCCTGTGACTGCTTTACACAAATATTTGGAGGAATTCCCTTCTCTTTGTGCCACGATAGAAATACTTTTTGGCCCCGTATTCCCGTGACCGACGAACCTTGTGCTTGCGTTTCATTTCTTGGGACCCCTTTTATGCACAACCTGTTTTATTTTCGAACTTTCTAAGAAAAACGGGAATTTAGCGTAGTTGTACGGCGCAAATAAAAGAACGGAGATAAGAACATTTTATTGTTGGAATTTTATGTATTCTCTGCAGTGTATACTTACGGTTAAATATGTTCACCGCGCCCGAGTAAGGGAATAAAGCTGCACTTTCTGCATCTGTACTGTAACTTTCTTCCGTTCAATTTTCTTCAGAGATTTCATCCTAACCTTCGAATATCCATAATTGTCATCCAGATTAATTTTTGTCATTTTATATACACAGAGCATTCATGAATCCAGAAAAATATCCTAGCTATCCGCAAAAAGTGAATAGTTTAATATTTTTTCTCTACTATGGAAACAAGTATATCTATATAAAAAATCTAGCAGTTTTTACTATTAGACTATATATATACTCAAACGTATTTTACCTCCTATTTCGAACTGAAATTGCTTACGATATATGGAATATCCCAGGCTACGTACTTTGTGGAAATAAAAAAAAGTGCTCACCCTAACGTCATCCTAGAAGCAAAGCCACAAAAAATTCAAAGACAAGATACGAAATATCACGCAGTACTCATAGACATATCTATCTGATAAAATAAAATGCTTTATCACGAGATTCTTCGAAATCTCTGTTTTATTTCACAAGCATACACCCCTCAGTCACAAATTGCCCATCGTGAAAGTCCGTTATTGGGAGTAGTAAATCACGTAATTTCAATTGAATGCGTCCATTTTTTGTTCACATCTTTTTTACACGCAATTCCATCACGAGAACAAACAGTCAAGTATTTCTATCCTTGGGACTGTGGTAACATTGAAAATGGCTGTTACGGACAGCCTGGTAGAGATTTGCGAGGCTTTAAATGACAGCGTGGCGTGAAACTTTATTACACCAAGCGTAACCACCAACTCCCTCAGTAGCTACCCGTCTCCTAATATAATACACCCCACCACCCCCTTTCTGCGTTCTACAACCGCTATTACGGAATAGTCGGTATATTTCTTCGAGGACAAACAAAATTCATTTAGAAAAATATGGGAAACACTTTCGAGACGATGGCGTGCCGTGCGGGAATGCAATGTCGCATGCCAGAGCCATTTACTTCCTTAAGTCTTCTCCGAGCCCTCCCCCTCCTCCACTATTAACCCCCCCGTCCGTGAACAGCTCGCAGTCATTTTTGAAATTCCACGTAAAACGTATAAAAAACGTAATCGTGATTAGTTCACCTAAACCACAGTTCATGACGGCTTTACGTAACTCCCTTACAAATTGCCAACCTGAAATTCTCGCGTGCGAATATCTTCGAGTTCAAAATTGATTTTCTATGCAATTTATTATCATCCCTTGTCATTTTAACCAATACGAAGTCTGCCTTATTAAAATTGCAAAGAAGCACTTTGACCTCCTCGAAAGTGGATTCGCGAAAATTTTTCTTTCTTTCTACCTGAACCCCCCCCCCCCCCA